TGGTTCCTGGTCGGGTGTGGTGGCTCAGGCCTATAATCCCAGCACTTTGGGAGGCTGAGGTGGGCAGATCACCTGAGGGCAGGAGTTCAAGACCAGCCTGGCCAACATGGTGAAACCTTGTCTCTACTAAAAATACAAAAATTAGCTGAGTGTAGTGGCAGGTGCCTGTAACCTCAGCTACTCAGGAGGCTGAGGCAGGAGAATCATTTGAACCTAGGAGATGGAGGTTGTAGTGAGCCGAGATCGCGCCATTGCATTCCATCTTGGGCAACAAGAGTGAGACTCCAACTAAAAAAAACAAACAAACAAAAAAAAAAAAACAAAAAAAAACGTGGTTCTTTTTTTTTTTTTTTCTTTTTGGGACGGAGTTTCGCTCTTGTTACCCAGGCTGGAGTGCAATGGCGCCATCTCGGCTCACCGCAACCTCCGCCTCCTGGGTTCAGGCAATTCTCCTGCCTCAGCCTCCTGAGTAGCTGGGATTACAGGCACGCGCCACCATGCCCAGCTAATTTTTTGTATTTTTAGTAGAGACGGGGTTTCACCGTGTTGACCAGGATGGTCTCGATCTCTTGACCTCGTGATCCACCCGCCTCGGCCTCCCAAAGTGCTGGGATTACAGGCGTGAGCCACCGCGCCTGGCAAAAACGTGGTTCTTAAATGTATTTGTCTTGGGACCCTTTTACACTGTGTGAGATGGATCAGTTATGATTCTTACAAAGAAACTGCAGAACAGAGAGTGATGTGACTTGCTCAGAGTCGCATAGAATCGGTGGTGCTGACTACTGCAGTTCTGATTACTCTTCTGAGCTTCAGAGCCCTTTGATTACCTCTGCTGGGCATCCCAGGGGACATTTGCACTCAACATACCCTAAAAATAAGCTAAAAAACCCTCTCGCCACATGTCCAGCTATTTCTGTGTTACTGAAGTTAGTTAATGGCACAAGTCTAAATTCACCCTCTCCTTGTCTTAGCATAACCAGAAGCCTGGATGCCATTCTAGACTCTGCTTAGATTCTCTTCTTCCTTAGTCCTCAGTCCAGTCATTCGAGCTCTAACAATTTCCCTTCTAATGATTTATCAAATACAACATTTATCTCTATCTTCCACTATTCCTGTCCTTACGAGCATCCTAATCTCTACCCTGCACTGCTGCAATTAACTCCCATTTGATGTCCTTGGTCCCTCAAAATCATCTTCTACATTGCTGCTAGAATGATCTATCAAAAATGCAAATCTGGTCATGTCATGTTAGTGGCTGCCTGTGAGCTAAGGGTAAAGTCCAGGGTCCTCAGCATGGCCCCCAGGCCCTCAAATCAGTGGCCCTCTCCAACCTCAGTGCCTTCCTGTCACCCCTTGCATCATACTTACCTCTCTGGCAGTGCTCTGCTGTTTGCCTGCCTGAGCACACATGTTGCTTCATACCTGTGATCCAACGTAACCCCCTGAGAGGCCTACTAGATCCAACACCCTGTGTATCCTTCTGTCACAGCTTAAACCAGTCTGTGACAACTATCTCTGTACCTGTGTCCCACATAGGCTTGTAAAGCCACTGATGGCAGGTGTCTAGTTTAGTTCAAAACTCATCTTTCTATCTTCAGGGCCTCGTATAGCAGTGGTCCCTAACTCGGGGCCACAGACTGGTTGGTACTGGTCCATGGCCTGTTAGGAACAGGGCCCACACAACAGGTAAGTGGTGGGTGAGTGAGCATTACGGCCCAAGTTCCATCTCCTGTCAGATCAGCAGTGGCGTTAGATTCTCATAGGAGCACCTATTGTTAACTGTGTATGCAAGTGAGCTCCTTATGAGAATCTAATGCCTGATGATCTGAGGTGAACAGTTTCATCCCAAAACTATCCCCTCCCTTGACCCAGTCCATGGAAAAATTGTCTTTCACAAAATTGGTTCTTGATGCCAAAAAGGTTGGGGACTGCTGTGGTGTAGCACTGGGCAAAGTATGCTGCAGAGAAGTTTTGTAGAAGCACTGAGGGAAAAGAATGACATACAGCAATGGGACCTGTTTGGGTGGAGGGATGGGAGTGGAGACTGTGAGATGAAGACAGTAGGGAAAACTTTTGTTCAAAGAAGGTCACAATTGAGCTGAGTCTTGAAGGAAGAGGAGGCACTCTAGACAGGAATGATAAAGGACCTGCAGGATAGAACAGTACTTGCAAAGGCCTGGAGGCCCAAGAGGACGTGGCACATTTAGGAAACTACAACTGATGATGACAGAGGACAGGATGCACAGGTAGGACTTTGGCAGAGACTGGAGGAACGGACAGGGCTCATGCTATCAAAACATGGCCTATATTTTAGGTCTTGCAAGAGCGTTCCAAAGTATTTATTTCACTATTCCAATTACTTTAGGCATCACAATGTGCAGGTCACTAAAAAATTTTTACTAGTCTACTTCTGATTGCTTATGCAGCACTACCTGTATTACTTTTGATAGTTAACTTAACCTCCCTGTGCCTCAGTTGCCCTACAGGGTCATAAAAATAGTACCTACCTCACAAGATTACTGTCAAAAATAAACATGTTAATAGATGTGAAGATTATAAGACAGCAGTCGCACACAGAATTGATCAGTGGATGCTGTGTTGCTATTGATTTGCCATCAGTGACAAACAGCTGCTGAGATTAGAGTGGAGGGAAGGGACTGTTCTTGAAATCCACAAAACACAGCCTTAATGTAAAGGTAGGACATATTTTATAACAAGTAAGTTTATCTTGGGAGATGACAGTAGCAGAAACCTAAGTTTTTAGGTCCATGATCTCAGGCAACAGTATAAATCGATTAACAGACTCCTTTGAATAATACATTTATATTTGGGTAATAAGTTTAGCTTAAAATTAGATGTTTAAAGTATAATTTGACCAATTATTTTCTGTAGGTATATCATCTTACAGTTGCCCATACTGAAAGCCATTTTCAATTTTCTGCCTTTCACGTACAGCCTTAAATGATTTTCCTGCAGTCTGAAGAATTTTCCTGTTGAGTTTCTTGAATGACTTTCCTGTTCAGTTGGCAATTACTCATTTGAAAACAATTGGGACTCATTTGCTCATAAATCATTTCCAAAGAGAATTTCAGAAATAGAAGGGTCCTTAGAGACTGTCTAGTCCAACAGTCTATTCTACAAACAAGAACACTGAAATACAGAGATTGAATGACTAGTCCAAGTTATAGTCTTTGAAAGTTCCACCTTGACTTTCCTACATGCTCTCACATAGACCCTCTCCCCGCCACTTTCTTTAGTGTGTGAACTCCCTGCTGGTTCCAAGTCCTTATGTATCCTCAGTTTAAATGACAAAGTATCTTCCTCCAGACTATGGTGAAATCAAATGCTTTCTATGTATTTAACTTGCATATTTCATGTGTTCCCTCAACAGACGTGGTTAAGTACTTGGTGCTAGATGTTTGGTTAATCCTGCTAAAAATTCCACCAGTATGCCTATTACTACACTCTTTACTCTCCAAAGTCAAAGTCATTAAGTAAAATCATGCTCTCCCATGAAATTTAACCACTTAACTGGGTGGATACGACTTCAGTGGTGGTATGACCTAGATGCTGTTCTCAAATTTGCAGAATGAATATGTTTTCTAGGCAGGTTTCTAAACATTTGAGAGTCATTGCTTAAGAGGTTTAGTGTTCCTGTCTTCTGACAGAGGTTGTACAGGTCGGTTTGGCAGCTTACACACCTGGTAGAGGGGAGCCTACCTAACCAGGTGTGTTCCAAGGGTAGGCTCTGCTCCTATGACATCCAATCCATAGCCTGGCCAGTCACCTAAGTGAGGCTTGAGGTAAAGAGATGAGTTGATCCAGTCAGATTTTTTTTTTGGGTGAATATGGCTTTAAATCAGAGAGGAGTAGCAGTTAGTCAAAACCAAACCAAACCAAACAACACATCTGAAAAAAATGCAGAGAGAATCCATAAGAAAATGATGAGTCAGAAGCAGCCACAAAGTGAAAGTAGAGGTTCTGAATTAGAAAAAAACCATACCGGCCAGGTGCGGTGGCTCACGCCTGTAATCCCAGCTCTTTGGGAGGCAGAGGCAGGTGAATCGCTTGAGTTGGGGGGTTTGAGACCAGCTTGGCCAACATGGCAAAATCTCACCTCTACTAAAAATGCAAAAATTAGCCAGACGTGGTGGTGGGCGCCTGTAATTCCAGCTACTCTGGAGGCTGAGGCAGGAGAGTCACTTGAACCCCGTGGGGCGGAGGTTGCAGTGAGATGAGATCACGCCACTGCACTCCAGCCTGGGCAGCAACAACAGAAAAAGAATCATAGGCAAATAGGGGAGTGGCGAGGCATGGAAAAAAGTGAATGTGTTATATTAAAGATGTAAGAGTTTAGGCCCTCAGTGTCCTGCTGTCAAGGTCAATAAGCGGGATCTGTCTGGTGAGCCAGGATAAACTGAGGTTTCAGCTCCAAAGCTTGTGAGACTCTTTTTCCTTTACCGCTAGGCATTTCTATCGTACCCTAAACAGAACAGATTTGATTCTGGCAACCAAAAGAACTCTTTACGACACCTAGGGAATTTTAGGGAGGTGCTAGCGTGTGCCTTAAGCTTTTTAGCTATGTGCTACTCACTGGCCATTTCCACGCTCAACTCTTCCAATGCTCTAGGGAAGTTTTACGTATGCAACATATTGGCCTTAACTTCACCAATGGCTGATTTCAATCCTTTTTTTCTCTTCTGCAGAAACATAACACTAATCATGCTCCGAGAGCACCAACTAAGGTAGCCTTTAGGGGAAAACGTTATAAGACGTGAACGTCTTCCCTGGTAGAAAGAAGGGCAAGCCCTCTGCTCCTCCCCGAGGTCTCAGAGGCCACACCTGCAGGCAGGAGCACGCTTTTCGATGGCGGAGCCCGGTCCCTGTCCCGTGGCCGCCGGCGCAGGACGGTGGTTCCCGGTCGCCAAGGACATTGCACGGCAGCCCGCGCCCCCGGCCCCCGGCCCCCGGTCCCCGATCCCCGGCGACCGCTGCGTCACCTGTAATTGTAGGCGCTGAAACGCTTGCTTTCTCTCAGCATAGCCCGGTACAGATCTAACACTTGTGCGCGGCTGGAGGCTGCCATTTTGGAAACAAAAAAAGCAAACAGGTCCTCTTCGGAGAGGTCCCAAGTACAGCCCAACCCACGGAACTTCAGCCTGTGCAGAAACTACGAATGAAATAAAGAGCGGCGGCTCGGCCTTGCCAGCAGGCCGGGCCTAGGCCTAGGTGGGCACCCCTGAGGACCGCGGACGGCACCCGGCGTCCCGGGCCTCTTCCGAGGTGGGCTCAGGCAGGCCTCGGGGCAGCTAAGGGGGCGGTGCCTGGAGGGAGGTGCCTCCGCTCCGCCCCGCCCCCGCCTAGAGGCTCTGGACCCAGTAGCAGCTCCACTAGGCTGAAAGGAAGGGAAACTAGAGGCTTGGCCTTCCGTGCATCCAGCCAAGCCCCTGGGGGACGAAGATCGGAGGCGCGAGCATCCGAGGGAACCGCAGTTGCACCATGGAGAGCCTTTGCGAACCGTCCGGAGACTTGGAGGGGACATTTGTGTTTCAGGGCGCAACGGACCCTAGTACCTCCAGGAGGCTGCGTTGCCCGGGTTACCGAAGGCCGCCCCGCCGAAGCCCCGCCCTTGACCGCCGATGCCCCGCCCCCACTGGCTGCGGCCGCCCTCAGTGCTGCCTTAGAGGCCTTGCGGGATTTCAAGGGTGACTTGACTTCGCCCGATCCTGCTCGACTGGGTGGCGTTTCCTGGCCTTCGCTAGGTCGGGAGCCGCGATGTCTGGGTGTGGAGGTGACGAGCCAGGTGTTCTGTGGCACTCCGGCGCTGCTCAGGGCGACCTGCGTAGGGGCCTGCGAGACAGGCCCGCTTTCTGTCAAAATGGCGGCGCCCAGCGTACATGGGTATCTGTTCAGTTGGGGTTTAAGATTCTTGCCCGTGAGAGCGAGCTAGCCTGCCACGCTTCTGATTTTGAAACACTTGGGTCTGGGTTTCCCGGGAGAGCGGTGAGTGAGTGCCGGCCTCATTGCAGCCTGGGGTGCGACGTGGGCAGTAGGTGTGGTAGGGGCTTTACATTGACCATGGATTTTTTTCCTCTTTCCGGATGTGGATTTGCTTTTGAGTGAAGTGTCCCCGTGGTTTTGTAAACTAATAAATGGGTAAAATGCAGCCTGGCTGTAGACTTCGGAGAATAATTAGAGACCTTTAGGGATTTAGGTATTCTCCAAGAAGCGGAGCAAGTTTTCTCCCATGGCTTGACCTAAACTCTTTTGAATTACCTTATTAAAGTGGTGGATAAAGTTGCTTGTTCTGATCTTTGAGCATGGGACTGGGCGCAGGGAAGCCTCAGCCAATTCTGGTACTGTGTTCGCAAAGCAATTTTCTTGTTTTTAGAATCTTGCATTACATAATCAATCTTAGGAAGAACCACACCTTTCTGCACTCAAGCACAGTAAGGAGTAGCTTTATATGTGAAAACAAACGGCCTGACGCAGTGGCTCATGCCTGTAATCCCAGCACTTTGGGAGGCCGAGGCGGGCAGAACATGAGGTTAAGAGTTCAAGACCAGACTGGCCAACATGGTGAAACCCCGTCACTGTGACATGGTAAAAGCCCCATAAAACTGTATACCTCAACCGTAGCTAGGCTTTGTGTTGAAACTGCTCTCTGTAATCCTAATGTGACAGGCAAGTAGTCCAAACCCACGCCATCTTGGCCCCTGCGACTTGTAATAAGTAACTAAGGTCTGTAATTTCCACCCGTATCCAGACAATATGTAAACTAACGCTTATCTTGACTTCTGTAAACCACTTAAGTAACAATCGGAATATCCATAGCCCCTTGGCCTTCGGAATGTCTGGAGCTCCTCACCCTCATCTCCGCCCAGGAGGTGATTTGCTTTTGGAATCCACTGGCCCTCACCCTTGCCCCTCACCCTCACTCCCAAGGTAGTTTACAGGCATAAAAGGTCTTGACACCCTCCTTTCGGGGCCATCCATGGGTTGGAGAGACGCGAGTCCTCCGTGGCCGCCAGCAATAAAGACCCTACAATTTGGCATACTCTTGTCTTGGTGTTAACTTTCCATGCTCGGGCCAGTATAACACGCTACTGAAAAATACAAAAATTAGCTGGGCATGGTGGCTCGTGCTTGTAATCCTAGCTACTTGGGAGGCTGATGTAGGAGAGTCAGGGACCTGGGAGGCGGAGGTTGCAGTAAGCCAGTTACAATTGCTTCTACCTATTAGGGGATTTAATCATTAATGTATATAATTAATGTATCTAAATGACTCAACTTTGTGGTAATCAAATACAACCTTTCCAAATAAATATGTATAGTTTAAATAGTTTGGGTAGCCTTGTCCTCTGTTAGTACAAGCAATGGTCGCAATTAGGAAAGTGATAGCTTCCCAGTTAATTCTGAGCCAGGTCTTCACAAAAATACCTCTTTAGTTTATTTAAAATGGTTTACTAGTTTGTTGGACATCATTGCCTTGAGAGGCTAATAGAAAATATTAATTTGGAAGCTACATCTCACTTTTGCATATCTTTATTGTGGAGATGGCTTTTTTGTTTTTTTAAAAGAAGAACTCTATTTGAGATTGTAAGTAGAATGGGCCAGAAGCTGAAGAATGGACCATACACATATGTTCCTTAATATGCATTCTATTCTGGGTTGAAATTTTTCTTAGGGAATATCTGAAATAGGAGGTACCATTTAGGAATCAAAACATAAAAATTTCTTTAATATTCATTTTTCGTTTATCCAAAGTTATCAACTACCTATAGTTCTTTATGTAAAATCTTGCATTATCTTCTATTAAAATTAGGGTTGTCCATGACCACCTAATGCTGTGTGAAGAGAAATTTCTCAAATCGTAATAAACAGCGTAACAACAATTTACTGTCCTGAAGCTTAAATATCAAAATGATGTATAAAGTAAAATTTGTATAGAAGTAGTAACTTATGATATTATTTAGAAATTATTCAGTTGGGCATGGTGCTTCACACCTGTAATCCCAGCACTTTGGGAGGCTGAGGCAGGTGGATTACTTGAGCCCAGGAGTTTGAGACCAGCTTGGGCAACATGGCAAACCCCCATCTATACAAAAAATACATCATAGCAAACCTCATATCTACACAAAAAGTACAAAAATTAGCTGGGAGTGATGGCATGTGCCTGTAGGCCCAGCTACTCAGGAGACTGAGGTGGGAGGATTGCTTCAGCCCTGGAGGTCGAGGCTATGTTGAGCCATGATCATGGTACTGCACTATAGCCTGGGCAGCAGAGTGAGACCCTCTCCAAAAAAAGGAAAACACCCAAACCCCTCCAAA